TTATTATTATTATTATTATTATTATTATTATTATTATTATTTCCCCTGGTCCTTTATACTCCAGCTATGAATGAAATCTGGTATTTTTCCTTTTCTTTCTGGCTTATTTCACTAAGGAAGATCCCTTCTAGTTCCATCCATGTTGCTGAAAAAGCCATGTGTTTCTTTTTGTTTGCTGAGTAATATTCCATTGTGTATATGTCCCACATCTTTTTAATCCAGTCATCTACTTTTGGACATTTGGGTTGACTCCATGTCTTTCCTATTGTAAATATATTTATTTTATTTTAAGGCTGTTGTTTTTATAGAATAATTATCTTTGTTTTTCTGGTTATTTGTTAGTATAATGTATGCTAGGAATTGTTATAGGAAGTTTTTATTCTGAATAATGCAGTGTTTAAAGATTGTTACTAATCTGTTTGGCACACCTATAGCCTTATATTGAGATAGAAACTAAGTTAAGCAAAAATAGAATATTATTTGGGCAGATAGTGCTCATTTCACTACCTGCTTATCTTTGGTTAAGCAGTCTGTGTTTATGAAGTTGTTGATACCTACAACAAATGAGTCTGGTGAGATTTTTATTCAATCCCCTTTCGTGGCAGATGAACCAGTGAATTTATTCCCTGTCCATTCCATACACTTCCCGTCACGGAGTGGGGAGAAAGACAACATTCTGCAGATTGTATTGTAGCCAGTACATTCTTCTGTAAAATAGCTTTTACATTTCTTACATGAGGAAAAAAAGACCTAGTAGCTTTGGTTTTCCTGCTTCAACTAGGTGTCAAAGACAAACAGCATAAGCCCCAGCAGACAGTGAGCTCCCAACCTTATAGGGCTGATCTCCCGGGCCCAGCCGCATGCACTCACAGGCACACACACATTTGTGAGTGATTTAAATGCATAGGACGAGCATAAGGCTTCCAGGAGATAGGAGAATTCTCAAGACAAACAAACCAAGAGCGTAAGAGAGAAAATACACTCAAATTCCCACAGAATGCCACCCAGCAGAGAATAACTTCCTATCATTTGTCCCCAAAAGGGAAGACCAGATGGTTCAACCATAAAACCAGATTCGCAGGTTGTTGCTATCCACAGGAACTAAGTGCACTGTGCAATTAAGAACAGAAGCCAGAAGCTGACTTCACCAAGCTCAGTTCTTCTTTTATTTTTTTAACTTGAAATCTTACTTTTATTTCTTGCTGGAGAGATAAGTAAATACAATTTTACTTTTATTCCCATTTCTTATGGGACTGTCCTGCTGCAAATAATAATACAGGAAAGAGTAAGGACCCAGTTTCTAATTCTAGTTTTACAAAACAGATGACCTTGAAATTTCAATGTCCAGAAACATCAAGAAATTTGAAAAATATATTGCAAATAAGTGGATCCAACTCAATAAACTCTGCCTCATTCCAGAGCTAAAATTCCATGTCCATATGTGCATAAACACTATTAGCTAACACAGGAAATGAATTTTTTCTTTTTTTTTAAATTTTCTTACGTTGTTCATATTTGTACAATATATTATTTCTCCCTCAGGTGTAACCCCCATAAATTTTCCAGCACCATCTCACGTGTGAACAGTCACCATCGTCTCTGGTGCTGCTCCCCCATGTTTGACCTCCTCTCTCCCCTCCCGTGCTGTATGCTCAAGATTTATAGTTTGCCTGCTGGTCTTCTCTTTTCCTTTTCCTCTGATCCAAGATAAGTTTGAATCCAGAAACAGAGAGAGAACACATCAGCAAGAGTAAAACCTACTGCCACTTAAGAGACAAGACTCACCCTCCAGCTTGAACATGCGTATTTGAGTATAAACAGTCCCTGGGTATATTTCTCAGGCAATACAGTTTAGTCAGCTTTGGAAACAAGCTCAATCTCAGTGGAATCTTCAGCTGGCAAAAATAGAAAAAAACTGAGCACAAATCATTTGTTAAATAAGAACCTGCAAGGGAATCAGACGGCAGCAGGAAAGGCTTAACCCAGTAATACATATCATCGGTACTTATGTGTATCTATATAATAGCATATAGCATATACATTCAAAGAAAAATTATTATCATGATTAGTAGATTAATGGTTAGTCTTTATTGATGATGGAAAAATAACAATTTTATCACATGCTTATAGCATCTAGAAAGGCCATGATATACTTTCAGACAGAAATTTGCAAACGTCAGAGAAATCCAAAACTTGAAGAAATCAGAGCAAATGAGCATTCACAGTAGTATTAAGTGTGAATTCACAAAACATTATGAAAACAAACTCAGAAATTTATAAATCAATTTGAACTAAATTAAAAATGATTTTGAAGTCATGATAAAGTTGCTTTTGTTAGTGAACCAGCCAGTGACTTCTAGGAAAAGCTCAAGGTTTTACTTATTTGGGGGACTAACTAGAATTAGACAAGATGACCCCGTCTTTCTTGTTCCCAGCTGAAAGTGAAGGTGTCCCCCTTTAACTGTAAGGTGAAATAATGCTGATTTATAATGTTCCTTTTTCTTCCACAAATCAAATAGCTGGATGTTGAACAAAGAAGAAAATTCATGTTCTAGATGAGTACTAGAGAGATTTTTTTTAAAGATTTATTTATTATGCATACAGAACTGGGGTACAGGCCAGAAGTGCAGGGGCAGTGAGAGGATTTACCCAAGACAGAGTGGGGAGCAGAACAGGCTGACTGATGAAGTACAATGCTGAGGGGAGCAACGGGCAGGTCAGGAGCGGTCTCCTGAGCCATGTGGGTCACCTCCAGGGCGGTGATCAAACTCATGCGGAAGTGGCTTTAGCTTCTTAGTGCTGTGCTTTAACCTGCTGCGCCACCAGGGAGGGCCTGAATAGTAGAGAGATTTTTAAGACAGCAAGCACCTGGGTTCAGTTAACATGCTTTCTTTTGCTAGTAACAGAAAAAAATAATTCAAACCTGCCTAAATTATGAAGAGAACTATCAGCTCCTGAGTGAAAACCCCTAAGGTGAGGAAGGAGTTTCAGGCACTGTTTGGTAAGGGCTTGACTCTGTCTCTCCATAAGTTTCTCCTCTCTCTTCTGTCTTCTGAGAAACCAAATATTGTGCAAAGATGAACAACAATGTAAGAAAGTTAAAAAAAAAAAAAAAAAACCAGTCCTCGGACTGGTTTCCCTTTTAATGCCAAAATAGCCACAACTGTTCCTGCCCTCACACCCACACACGAGAGAGGACTTTTGTCAACCACTGAACAAAAGGAGTCTTTGCTCAAATTGAGGCCGTTTGGATCATGTGGATTTTCCCGAGCCAGTCACTGGGCGAGGGGAATAGGTTTGTGCTGACAGGCTAGTCCAGGCACCACCCACCTCGGGCTGAGTGACTCAATCCCAAACAGCATCGCTACTCTACTGTGGCAACAAATCTCTGCGACAGAGAAAGCCCCAGTGTTCACCACAGAGCTCAGTTAGTCCCTTGTCCCTTGTTTCCCTCTCCTAACTCCTCCCTTTCTTGAGGACTCCTTTCTCAGAAGCCCAGGAGTTTACAATAAGCTAACATGGAGTTGCTTGAGCCGGCATATTGGAGACACAACCCAATGTGCCCAAGGTGTGGACACCTCTTCAGAACTCCATTCCAGGAGTTACCTCAAGCAAAGTTACTGGAATCAGTGGACTGAGCCAGCCCTTTCATTGGAAAGTGGGAGGGAACCCCATTTAGGAGCAGAAAGCGAAAGTGACTCGGCCTTGCTTGCACAGCCAGCAGGTGGCAGAGCGAGACAAGAACTCGGTTTCCCACTTCGTGGTCCAGCGCCCTCACACAGCATCTCGGGGGTTCTCTCTCCACTTCTCCCAACAGTACGTGCAAGCCAAGTCACCCAGAACAGAGCTGCCTCCTGTCTATACCCTGGAGCTCTTGACCATCTATGCCTGGGAGATGGGTACACAGGAGAGCGAGAATTTCGAGCTGGACGAGGGGCTGGTTTCCGTGCTGGAGCTGCTGCAGGATTACGAGCTTCTCTGCATCTACTGGACCAAGTTCTACACGCTCCAGAACCCAGTCATTGGCGCCTTCGTCAGAAATCAGATCCAAAAAGAGAGGTACTGGGCCAACTTCCCCATCACGACCCACAGAGAAAAAGTATGGCGTGAAAAGTGGTATTACTGCACCCAAGACCTCACACCCACGTAGCCGACTCCTCGACCTCATACTCACACCTGTAAAAGTACCGGGGGCGATGGACTATCAGGCTTATCCTTGCTCTCTTTTTCTTTAAATCAATCTCCTGAAAGCATAATTCATATGGGCTATGTACACATTTAAGTGTGCAGTTCTGTGTGAGGAGCAGGGAAAGTTCTGTGAATCATGTCATCTTTCACAGCAATTTTTTTAAGTGGGGTAAGGTTGGTCTACATCCCCAGGTAGGTTCTAGGTGGACAATGTCCCACCTCAGCATCCATGCATTTCACGCCATCCCCCACAACCACCAACCTATTGTTTCTGCCTTTCCTCCCCACTGGTAAATACCATTTTGATGTGAGAGTTTCTTTCCTTGTATTCTATAAATAAGTGAAATCATGAAATATTTTTCTTTTTCCTTCTGATTTATTTCTGAATAGCATAATCCCATCAAGGCCCATTCAAAATTGTTGCCACTGACAAGGTTTCGACCTTTTTTGTGGCTGAGTAGTATTCCACCATGTATATACACCTCCTCTATCCATCACTGTGCACTTGGTTGTTTCTGTACCTTGGCTATAGAGACTAGTGCTGCAATGAACATATGGGTGCATCTATCTTTTTTCAATCAATGTTTTCATGTTCTTCAATAGATACCCAGAAGTTTATCCTTATATTTTAAGCCCTCTCCCCTTCACCCCATTCTTTGCCCTCAGACCATTTCAGTGCTTTTGCAATAAGCATAAGAAAGCAGAAAGGATCATGGAGACCCAAGCTATATCCCAGCACTGCCATTTTCCCCCACCTCTGTGAGTCCCTGTGCCTTCCCCATAAACTACTTGACCGCTGGGAGAGCATCTATAAAGGGTCTATGATGTCTAACTCTGGGAGATGTCAGCTTGATGCTCTAATTACAGCACACACTGTCAGTGCCCTGTCCACATCCCCTGGGCCTTGGCCAACTCGGAAGTCTGGCTCAGCTGTCAGTGCCCGCAGTCCTTGGCCTGAGGCTTTTCCTCCTACTCTGAAAGCAGCTCACCCAATGGGTGGTGGAAGTTGTTGGCTAAATGCCTCAGCTCCCCACATCTCTGATGGAAGGAGTCTTTCTGGATCATGGGGCTTGTTCTGTTTCCCAGAGTCCCCCAGTCAGAGTTGTCAGAGTTCAGCTCCAGTGAATAGGGTTGAGAGAAGAATTCGAAAGAACTTGAAGTAAAGAAATGACAGGCACAAAATCGAGTTTAAGAGACCCAGAGGACACAAGACTTCTTAGTCTGAGGATAAGCATCCCAAGTGCAGGGTACAGCCATTCATATTAAGACAAACTACCCCCCTCCCATTTAGGTTACAATGATTTAATCTCTTGGTAGGTAGCGTTCATTTGGCACACATTCATTGCCAAGGTTCTGTGTTATCGGGTTGTTTTGTTCCCACGCCTGTTTCTTAGCTTTGCTGATACAAGGAGCGACATCACAGCCTGGACATGGGCCAGTCTGACAGCCCGTGTGGCCCAGTCTTACAGCCATAGCCTTGACACTTTCCCTGCTGTAGCACTTAAAGCCCGAGGGGTCTCCAACACAGAGTAGTGCCCAGTTGTCCACAGTGGTAATCACCCTAACACCCCCCTCATTGGCTTCCTTCCCGTCCCCATCTTCCTCTCCCCTCCCTAACTGGTGCTTCTTGGCACCTCCTTCCAGACAAATCCCTGCACTCCAAGATCCTTATCTCGGGATCCACTTCTGGGGGGCCCAGCCACAGGTGCCTCTTTTATATGGGAAGCTCTGGATCCATGTGACTAGTGTCACCAGAATGTCTATGGTCCCTTATGTGAGGTTTGGGTCCTATTCTACCCAGGAGGAAACTCCAGTTTCCTTGTAAAAGGAACTGAAAGGAAGGGAGCCTAGAAACTTGAGCTTGGAAGCTGCTGGGACCTAAGCCTGCGGCCGCTCACGCTCTCATGACCCACGTGCTCTTTCCTCTGCTTCTGTCGCCTGTCCTGCCGCTCTCTTCCTGCCTGTTGCTCAGGGATCCCATCACCCCCGGAGCAAGCCCCAAGGGAGCCAGTCTGATCACTGCACACAGGCCCTGCGTGTTGGCCCCGCCTGGCACTTCCAAACAAATGCTTGCACTCCAAGACCCTTCTCTTGGGACCTGCTTGGCACTGCTGCCCAACTCTTTTCCAGGCAGAATGGTTCGAGGATACTGGAGCAGCAGCACAGAGTGCAGAGAATCCAGTTCTGGGTCCTTGGCACAGGGTTTGGGGATCTCACCCCCCAAATTTCTCGCAGACCCGTAGAGGGGCTCTTGGAACTGGAATCATCTCCATTCTGTTCTGTTCTTCCCCAGATTGCTTTCTGCCTCCAGCACTGACAACCCAGGACTCTGAACACAGAGGATGCTCAGTGGCTTGGCAGGAGGGCTGTGGGGAGGCTCCCTTCTGGCTTCCAGACCAGGGGGAGCCTGATCACCCTCTTCCTGTGCTGCAGACCCATCATCCTGGATCCGGTTGACCCCACCCACAACGTGGCAGAAGGGTACAGGTGGGACATAGTTGCCCAGCGCGCCAAGCAGTGCCTGAAAAAAGACTGTTGCTACAATGGGGAGGAGCCAGTTCCCAGCTGGGAAGTGAAGGTAATGACACAGCTCCAGGCCGCCAGGAGCATGAGGCTTGGAATGAAATAGCTATATAGTATTTATGTATTTACTCTTGCCTCAGTGCAGCAAATAGGGCTTGAGAGCTAGATGGTTTAAGGCTAGTGAAACTGTTTAACCCTCCGACCTGCAGATCGCTTACCTCCAAATTCTTATCTCCCAACCCCACCCCACCATTTTCTTTTTTTCCCTTTTGGCTCTTCATCCCATAACCTGTCTGAGAATCAGTCCCGGTTCTGATCATTCTTTGCATGAGCTGAACCCAGGCAAATCAAGCCAGTAGTCTGCATTGCACCAGCGCTGAGCTGGTGGCAGTGAGGGGGCAACGATGCATAGAAATAAGACCTGGTTAATAGGGACCAATACAGGAGGTAAAAGCTCTAATGTCTGTGCTTGCAGCCGATACTGTTAACAATGTGTTTTATTCACATTGTGCTTTACAGTTTGCAAGTGTTTGACTGGGGACATCTTTATAAAGTAGAAAGGTCAAGTGCTTTATCACAATTATCATCATCATCATTATCATTATCACCCCCATTTTGTAGGTAAGCAACCAGAGGCCCAGAGAGGTTAATTAACCACTCACTCAGCTAAGAGGCAGCAGAGCTTGGATTCACACCCCGGTGTTTGCAGGGCTCCAAAAATGGAACGCAAATGTTATCTGAAGTCACTACAGTGGACTGCTTGAAGAACTGGGGCTTGAAATGGGCCCTAAAATCTCTGGGTGGGTGTAAACCTCAAACCATAGGACACCCCACCTGGGAAAGAGTCAGGGCAAAGGGCTGGATGGAGGTGGAGGCTGTACTAAAAGACTGGCCTGCTTGGCACAAAAGGCAGAAGCAGAACAGAGACTCTCCGTTAAGGGACAGAGCTGACAAGCTGGGAAAGCCAGTGAGACTGAGATACGCACGCCTTTTGTTTTTCCCTGAATAAAGTACCACGCAAAGATTTTTATCTGGAAAAATTAAAGAAGATTAGGCAATGTCAGACATAAATTCTTTCTTGAAAGGATCTGCTAGAGGTCCAGGCCTCCCCAGCACCCAGGTGGAGTTCTCAGACCCCCAGGGACTCTCAGGCCCTTGCATGTGGCCCCCAGCAGTTAAGAACAGAAGTTTAGTGAAGGTCGGGTGTATGTGAGACCTCAGTCTGAATACCTGTTCTGCTGTCACTACCTGAGGATGGTCAGTACATCCCTTCCCTCTGCTCAGCTCCAGTGTGCTCGTGTGTGAAATGGGATGCTCGGAGAACATTCTCTTAGTGAGAGTGGGGGAAGTAGGATCTGAAAAGTGTGTGACATGGGAACTAGGTGGTGGATGGCACCCCCTAAATGCTTGCTGCTTTTGCTGTTGTTGGAAAGAAGGACAAGTAAAGGGAGCTTCTGCACATCCGACAGAGCAATGTGGGCTCCACTCAACCCCTCTTTCTCTCCTCTCCTTTCCAGGAAGCACGAGACATCCAAGTGACAGTGGAGCAGTGGGGTTACTCAGATTTGACCATCTGGGTGAACCCTTATGACCTCATAAAGAAGCTTAAAGATAAAATTCGGCGGCTCAGGGGCACCTTCGACCAGTATCTTCTGTCCTTCCAGGAGCCAAGTGGCACGAGGCAGTTCCTCGACACCCACTGCTCCTGGGCTTATTACGGCATCTTCTCTGACACTCGCATCTGTCTGCTGCAGAACCTCTCCCCTGAAATCCAGGTCTTTGTGAAGAATCCTAATGGTGGAAGCCATGTCTATGTCCTCCACCCCAACAGCTTAATCCTGAACCTAAAGCAGCAGATTGAAGACAAGCAGGGATTGCCCAAAAATCAGCAACAGCTGGAGTTCCGAGGCCAGATCCTGCAGGACTGGTTGGTTTTTAGGAACTATGGTATCCAAAACAATGACATCCTCGTCCTCTCCAAGAAGACAGCTAGGGAGGCTCCATTTCTACCCAGCTAGTTTCCTCTGGGAACCCTCTCTTAGATTCTACCTCTGAAGGCCCTCCTGTCCTGGCCTCATCCTATCAACCAGTCCTTCAGCCTCTCTACTGAAGGTCCCAGGTCATGACCAACTTTGTAAATAGTTACATTAGCCCTGCCAGTAGAGGAATGAGGAGGGATCTGAAAGACCCGACATACAAATGAACAATGACCAGACCATTCATGACAATAGAATCCTGACCCTAACCTCTACAGCAGTCAACCCCAAACCACAAGGAATCTGGTCAACAACTTCCAGATTCTGTAATCCCCAGGCCCCTGTCCAAATTAAGATCAGCAGAAAAAGCCGAATAAGTTCCCTGACCAGTCATCCAGGATGCCCTGCTTCTAGTTAACCTGTCTATTCCTACCCCATGCCAGCAACTTTCATCAGGGTCTTTTTTTTTTTTTCCACTCTAAAGCTTTCCCACTGCCTTGTATGTCTTTAAGTTGCTGCTATACGGAATAGTGACTGACTCCCTTGCTATAGAGAGATGATAATAAATAACCTTGATTCATTCTCATTTATGTGGCCTTGTTTATTTCCATAGTGTTAATAACATCCCAATTGCTAGTGCTTAATCGTGTGAGTCTCTCAACTCTGGAAGTGAAGACGATAAAGAAACTGAGACATAGAGAGGCAAAGTCTGCGCAAGCGAGGGTGACATAGTGTAAAGTTCCCTGAAACTCCTGAAGTACACACAACACAGAGTGCAATGGGCCAGTGAGTTTAGGAAAATATTAACCTCTTTATTATGCAAAGATACCATGTGACCAACCAATGACGGTCTTTCCTCCCCCCTCCCTTTTGCTCTGCTCTCTGGTAGATTTCTTACCATAGAATATACTTTATGGGTCCTCACTGGTGGCACAGCAGGTTTAAGCGCAGCATTGCAAGCTGGCTGCAACCACTTCAGTGCAAGTCTGATCCCCACCTTAGAAGTGACCACATAGTGCAGCAGACCTCTCCTGGCCAGCCCACTGCTCCCCTCAGCAGTATATCGTCAGTCTGCCTGTTCTGCTCCCCCTTCTGTCTCTGGTGAATCCTCTCACTGCCCCTGCACCTCTGACCTGCAACCCCAGTTCTGTATGAATAAATAAATAAAATCTTTTAAAAGAATATACTTTACAAGTGGTTCTCAGCAGTGCCTGGGTAATTTATCAAGAGTAGTCTGTTTCCCACTACTCTCCCCTTCACAGTCAAGAAGTGACTCCTTTCCATGGGGTAAACAGGCTAGTCCACCCCATATCTTTGTAACCTTTGCAATATTCGGTACAGCCCACATTGTAGGTAGTGGGCAAATTCTTGTGTGTCTGTGTGTGTGTGTGTGTGTGTGTTTTAAGATTTATTTATTTGTGCATACAGAACTGGGGTACAGGCCAGAGGTGCAGGGGGTGAGAGGATTCACCAGAGACAGAGTGGGGAGCAGAACAGGCAGATTGACGAAGTACACTGCTGAGGGGAGCAGCAGGGAGACAGGAGAGGTCTGCCGCGCTGTGTGGGTCAGCTCTGGGGCTGGGATCGAACTTGCACTGAAGCAGCAGCAGTTTGCTTGCAGTGCCGTGTCCTAACCCGTTGTGCCACCAAAGACGGCCAGGTTTTTGGGGGGTTTTTTGGGTTTGTTTTTTTTTTTTTTTTTTTTATTAAAGGAGTAACTCACCTCTCTTTTGTAATAGAGAAGTCCAAGGTCAAATAGTTTGCTTGAGTAGAAGAACAAGTTTTACATCCTTGGCTTAAAAAAATAAAATGAAGAAAAGAATGCCAAAGACAAAAGTAAGTTTGGTCATCCTTCCTCTCCTGGTGGAGTATCTTAACTGCAGATTCTAGCATGAAGGACCTGGGCGGACCCTTGGAGCTTCAGCACTGAAAGTTCCTACAAATGTTTCCAAAATATAGGCAAAGTGAAGTCCTGAGCTAGAACAGTGAAGGATGTTTCCCAAACTTTGCATCGGAATAGCCCTCAAACTTTCATGTGCATGCAAATCACCCAGAGACCTTTTTAAATGCAGTGTCTGTGCCTCCCTGGTGGCCTAACGTGCCTCAGTTATCATAAATTCAATCTCCACCAGGGATCTGACCCACATGAAGCAGCAGACCTCTCATGTCTCACCTGCTACTCCCCTCAGCAGTATATTTCCGCAAATCTGTCACTGGTAAATCCTCTCACTATCCCCTCTCCTCCCAAACCTCTGGCTTACACCCCAGTTCGTCTGTGAAAAAAAAAATTAATATATGAAAAAAAAATCCATTTCTGTTCAGGTCTGTATTGAAATCAAGACTCCATGTTTGGAAGTTAATTTCTAGTAGCAAGACCCTAGGAAATAGGGAGGACATAGAAGTTTCTGAGTCCCAACTTCCAGAAATACTGATTCGGTTAATTTTAGTTATACCCCAAAATCTACATTTTAACAAACTCCCTAAAAAGCTGCAAATGTCCAGATGGGTATTAGAAAAATAACAGGAATACTCTTGAAACTACATTGATTCAAAACATTGGAATCAATCCTGGTTTTGTCATTACACCTTGTGTGACCTTAGACAATTCCTTCTCCTCTGTAGATCTTATTTTCCTCATCAGGAAAGGGATAGAGAAGCTGATCTCTTAAACCCTTCCAGCTCTAGCTTTTCCGGGAACCCTAAAACAGTTCAGAAGATCAAATCTAAGAACTACAACCCCCACAATGCCCTGCGCTCCCTCTCGCACCAGGTCTTGAGGCGGGTTCTGCAGGAGCTCCCCACAATCCTTTGCTATGGCCAAGATGGCGGCGCCCAATGGCTGCGTGAGCGAGTTGGAGAGTAGCAGTAGCAGCAGCAGCGATACGGAGGAGCTAGAGCGGTGCCGCGAAGCAGCAATGCCGGCCTGGGACTTAAAGCAGTGCTCAAAGGTCCTGAAGAAACCGAAAGCCGGTAAGGAACTATGTTCGGGGAGTTTGGCCAAAGTGCGTGACCCCCCCTGTGGGGCGGCGGCTGGGTGATGAAGAGGTACTCACCTGATCTCTACGCTGCCGGAGAGAATTCCGAGATTTGTGGGGTTCAGATTCAAAACGAGGGCAGGTACGGCAGGGAGGGTTCCATTATCCTAGTGAGAGAAACTGAGCCACATGGATGTCATTCCTCGTTGCAGCCCGCAACTCCCAGATGACAGCGATGGCCCCTCTCTTTCATTCTCGCTTCCAGTCTTTATCACCTGTATACATTCTCACATCCTGGGACTGCCAGCGAGCTGTGTTCAAGGCGTACCTCCGACTTTGACTCACCACTACCCTGGGAATAAACCGAAAACCCCTGAACATAGGGGCAGCTAACCATGAATGGGGAGAAGGGCGGGAAGCCAATCTTCCTCTACTCTTTTTAGTCCCACGTGCCAGTGGATGCTGGTCCTGGACAGTAACATAACTCCTGGGAGTTATGGCTCCTTATCCTTATCTGGCTCCTAGGTTTTTGTGAGTCTCAGACAATTTTGTTTTTCAAGTATGTGTAATTTTGTCATCTCTCGCCACCAACTAGAATGTAAGCTCCATGAGCACAGGATCTTTACCTAAGTTGTTCAGTAGCTAGGACACCACCTGGGTCATATTAGACATCCAGTATTTGGCTGAGTGAATGAATGGCCACCATCTCCAATGTCTTGGCTTTAAAAATATAATCCACATAACTGAGCCACCTTCTTCTGTCTTCTCCACAACACATAGCACACAATCAGGTATATAGTGGGTGCTCAATAAGTGCTGGACTGGAGTTACACCTAGACTTACCTGTTCAGCATGGTGGTTGGAGGGGAGAGGGCCCTGGAGCCAGATGGCCTGGGTCTTCATCCCATCTCATTTGCTAGCTGTTTTACTCTGACTACATTATTTTACACCCCCTTGCCTCATTTTCTGCTTCTGCAAAATGGGGATAATAGTGACCTGTCAAATGCTGTTGGTGGGAAATTCAGTCATTTATACATGCAAATCACTTAAAGTATTGCCTGGCATACAATAAATGTTGTATAAATGTTCCATAAATGTTTCAATTTCTATTATTTCCACAGATGCTGCAAATAATCAGTTGCCAACCACCCAGCCAAGTCTCAGGTACTGTGCACTTTGAGTTCAACTTTCATCCATTCATTCAGCAATATTGATCCCTGCTAGGCTAGCCCCGAATGTCAGCATGAGCAAGACCCATGAAGACCCTGCCTTCAAGGAGGCAGCTTCTGAGCTGGCAGGAGGTGAGGTCCTCTTGTGTGTGTTGTAGGCATAAGGTGGATGAGCATGAGCAAGATGGCAATGAGCTTCAGACCACTCCTGAATTCCGAGCCCACGTTGCCAAGAAGCTGGGAGCCCTACTGGACAGGTAAGCCAGGACGCGTTTCTCTCTCAACCCCCCAGTAATGGCTGGGAGCTGTGTCAGATGTACTGACACACGTTACACATCACCTCATAGTTCATCATCCCCCTCCCAAGTAGGTCGTATGGTCCTTAGACCTCTCAACAAGAAAGCAGACTCTCTGCAAAAAGTGTTTGCGTGAAGTTACAGGGAGTAAGGAGCAGCACGGGACACAGCCTGAGTGTGTTTGACCCCAAATCTGTGCTCTTAAACACCTGTTAGCCTGACGTTATGAGAATGGAGGCACCAGAGATTGCCACAAGAGGGCAAGGGATTACTAGGCAGAATTGCCTTTTCTTTGGTGCCAGGCACCGTGCCAGTTCTCTGCCTTGCATTTGAGATTACGTGCTGGGAAGACCCAGAGTATGAAGCAGTTGCCAGGGATACTAGACCAGGGTGTGGCTCTTAAAGGGATCCAACTGTAAGGAAGTTGAGGACCTGTTGGGGGATACCTTTGGCTGATCAGGAGGGTGGTTAGGAGAAGCACCCGGAGCCTGACTGTTTTGCTGCAGGCCCTGTTGAGAGCATTGTTTTCTACAGCTCGTAATGATACTCTGTCATCTGTCAGCCTTCACTTGAGACAGGCTTCCTGGCCTTGGCGGTTCTCCCTGCTCGCTCTAGGCTTCTAGAGAGAGAGTTTGTTTTCATGTTAGAGGTTCTGCAAAGCTTATTGCCTGTCTTGACCACAGAAAACATCTTCACCATAGCAGCCATTTACTGAGCACCTGCTGTGGCAGCCCTGCGTTACGTGTTTGATGTCCACTGTCACTTTCAGTCCTTGTGGCAGTCCTAAGAGAGGGCTCTGTGACCACTCCCAGTGTGTAGCAGAGGCTTGGAGAAAGAAATCCCTTGCCAAAGGAGACACAGCTAGTGGGTGACAAACTCAGATTGAAACCAGGTCTCTGAAGTGTGAATAAAGTAGATGGATTTTATCGATGTCAGTTACCTGGTTGTGATAGCTTCAGTTATGTATGTATTACCGTATGGAGAAACCTGGTGAAGGGGAATGCCCATCTGTATTATTTCTTGCAAATGCATCTCAACCTACAACCAATTTTTTTTTTTTAATTATTTAAAAATTTTAGAAGAGTGGAGCCCCTCCTGGTAGCACAGCGGGTTGGAGCGCTGCACTGCAAAGCTAAGCCAAGCTGTGGCCGCTCCAGTGAGAGCTCGGTTCCCGCCCTGGAGGTGACCCACATGGTGCAGCAGTGTGGATCACCCACTGACCTCCTCGGTGTCTCACCCACTGACCCCCTCAGCAGTGTACTTTATTGATCTGCCTGTTCTGCCCCCTACTCTGTTTCTGGCGAATCCTCTCGCCACCCCTGCACCTCCCACCCCATTTCTGTATGCATAAATAAATCTTTAAAAAAAAATTTAGAAGAGCAGAACAAATCTGTCCTCCCCTAGAACCTGACTTCTGAACCACATGTCTGAACTGGCCATTTTTCCCTTTCATGCTTGCTGCCAGGAAACTCAAAGGTGTGCCCTCTAGCATGTCTGCAGGACTTCCTGACCATATATCTGGCTCTCAGTCCCTCCTGCCTTATTTTCTCTTTGCCCGCCTTGGAACTGCATTACTTTCTGTTGTACTGGAAGTATCTTTAAAGCTTCTTAAAATTTTTCTGGAATAAAGTGAGGCTTAAACAAATGAAACACTGTAGTTTAAGCTGCTCAGTAGCTGTAGGTGCAGAACAGGCAGATCAATAAAGTATCTTCCAGGATACTACACTGCTGTTGCGTTTAAGAAACATGACCCTGCTCCACATTTTAAAGAAAGTTGTTCTAATTTGTTGTTGCTACCCAAAATCTCATCCTAACCCAACCATCTCTCTTCCCCTTAGTTCCATTACCATCTCAGAAGTAGTAAAGGAGCCAACAAAGGTTGGGGTGCAGAACGTTGACCCCGAGGATGACGGTAAGTGGCTCTACATGCTGTCAGTAACAGCTCTGGTTTATTAAATGCCTCCTGTGAGTCTGGAGCCAGGAAACATGGCTTTGGTATGTTCGTTCATCTGCACAGCCCCACTCTGAGGCACATATTACAATACCCCCATTTATAGGGGAATTAAAGGAGAACTGAGACTCGTAAGAAATGAAGCCAAATGTCTGAGGTCCCCTCATATGTCTGACCCAAAGCTGACTCTGTCCCTTGGAATTTCAGGCTTCCGCCTTTTCTTCACATCCATCCCTGGACGCCCTGAGCAGGAGTCTACCCCCCCACCCCGCCGAAAGCGATTGCCTTCCGGCTCCAGGTAAGATCTCCCACAGCTCCTCAAGTTCCCTCCCTTTTGCCCCTTTTCTGTCTTGTCAAGTACCCTTAACTAGCCAAGCTGTGATTCCAGTCAGGTCCAGGCCAAGAAGGGGCCTTTTCAGGTAGCCGGAGAAATAGTAACCCTCACTAGGAATGGGAGAAGCATCTGGAAGGGTGGCTTCCTGAGCACCCAGCTTGTGCCCGACAGTTCACTCCGGGGACATGCCTGAAAGCCTGGGCTCTACTTTACAGAGAGAAGAATAGAAGGTCCCTGTTTTATAGGTAGACACTGAGGGTCAGAGAGGTTGAGTCACTTACTCAGGTCACATAGCAGGAAGCATAGAAGCTAGTAAGGAACCCAGGTCCTCCCCACTTCCAAGCCTGAGCTTCCTCACTGCCTCCCATTGTGGCCTCTCTCTGGTGGCTTGGCCTGAGGGAGGCCAGCAAGCAGCAGCTGCAAGCCCCATCTCCACTCCAGCTAACCCAGCCTGCCTCCCCTTGCAGCAGCGAGAGCAGCGATGAAGAACGGCAGCGGTGCCTGGAGGCCGCCGTGTCGGCCTCCGATATTCTCCAGGAGTCTGCCATCCACAACCCTGTTGAGGTAGAGAAAGAGGCAAAGAAGAAGAAGCAAAAGTTGAAAAAGAAAGCCAAAAAGGAAGCCAGCGCTGACCTGGCCACTGCCCCCATACACAAGGCCACCGTTGGGAGGCTGGAAAAGGAGTCAGCCCAGCTCAGTGGTGACCAGGTATCACTTGGGACCAAAAAGAAGAAAAGGAAGAAAAAGTCAAAGAAAGCCAGTGAGCCTTCCCCATTCCCGCCAGCAAAGAGTGTGGTCAGCGTGCCTGCGAACTGACCCCGCCTCTGGGCTTGGGGCCCAGTAGCTCTGAGCACAAGGCACCCCTCGAATGGCCATTTCCAAGCCCTGCCTCCCCCCAAGATAAGGGACTTGGTGGCAGGTCCAGACTCAGTCACGATGGGACTTGTCCCAGGCTCCGGTCGTGGGGTGAATGTCCTGGGTAATACAGTGCCCTGCTGTGTTCTGCTGCCGGCTGGGGCAGACTTGTGACACCAGAACATTCCATGGCCTCCAGAAGCGCCTCCCAGCCTTTCAAGAGTGATGGCCACACAGTACAGCTCCCTCCATCTCCCCCCAGTGCTGTCTGAGGCGGGCGAGTGAAGGGAAGCCTTCTCTTCCCCTCCCCTCCTCAGCCTGGTGTGGGAGGTGACCTTTAAAACACGAGGGAAGGGGCTCCCACGATGCCAGGGCCCACAGCATTCTGTACTTAGCCCTTCGGGCCATACAGACTTGATACAACATTGTCTGAAAAACAGGGAGAGAGAGTGCTTTTCCCCCTCTCAGAATTCCCAGAATTTTCTTACTGCATATCTGTGAATATACCAGGCACAGTCGTGCCTGAGTCAACCAGGTTACTGGAAATAAGTCATCCGGGGACCCAAAACATGACAGAGTGGTGTGGGTGCTGTGTCCCTTCGAGAGCTGACTCTTGGCCTGTCGGGTGGGTGTCCCACATGTAGGACCCTGCTGTCGGTACCCCAGCTGTTTTCCTTGAGTACTTTCAAGACTGTGGGGAGAGTCCCTGCACGGCATGAATGGGTTTCCTGCAGGTCGTCTGCAGAAGGGCCAGAGCGCAAGGTGAGATGCGGGCCTCGTCGCCCCTCCTCAGCTCCAGTGGGGGAAGGGACAGGTATGAGGTGAGCCGAGCCGGCTGCTCAGGCCTCAGCCCCTCTGCTCCCCCCTGCCCATCCACACCAGGGGCCAAGGGAACAAGCAAGAAGTTTTGGTCCGTTCATCGTTTACTTTTCTAAAAGTTAAATAAATGTACAGGCTCACCCACGACGGTGCTGGTTCTCCCGGCTCCCTTCTCAATCCGGGGGTGGAGACGGTCCCCCCAGCCAGTTCACCTGCAGCAGCCCCAGGAGTTGAGGTCCCTCACTGGTCCTGCCCACTCAGTGGTGCCTGGGGCCCTGCACTCCTGGGGGTGGCTGCAGCCCACGTGGGCTGCTCCCCGCACTCGGCCTGCCGGGCTCCCAAGCTCCCAGGCACAGCTCTGGCCGCACAGGTGTCTCCTCTCCCTCCAGGGTGCTGAGCTCCACCTGCCACACCCCTGGCTGAGCTCAGCAGCATCTCTCCCAAACTGAGGAAGGGTCTACAGGGTCCATAGTCTGAAAAAGTGCTGCCCGAGGACCTGATCTTAGTACCAGGCGAAGAGTTCAGGCTCCCATGGAGCGGGCCAGGCTGGCGAGAGAAGGCGTGATGCTCAGGGGAGCCGGTGTCCAAAGTGAGGTCCTGGGGACGATGCAAGGGGTGGCTCCAGATGAGGAGGCGAGGGGAGCCCAGCAGGCCTCCTCTGTGAGCGTGGGCTCTCCAGGGCTCAGGCCTCAGCCTTAGGCTCTGGTGCAGAGAGGCCACTAAGGGAACGTAATGTGAGTCAGTAATGGGTGAGTGGGTCCAGAGGATCGTGTGAGTTAAGGAGGGCAGGTGGAGTGGCCTGGGCAGGTCAAAGGTGACAGAACAAGGCCATGTTGTTCTAGGCCCTTCCAGAGCTCAGCAAGTCACGGCCACGCCTGCTGGCGTCCTGAGGTGTGACTGCAGAGTCCCCATCATGGTGCCAGGACTGGCCACAGGCCTAGAACCCGAAGTCAGTCCCCTTCTGCTGCCAGTGGTAGATAAGCAGCAGCAATGGTTCCACCCTTGTCCTGCCAGGGACATGCTCTGCTTCCCAGTTCTCCCTGGGCACCTTAGAACCTCCCTTTCTGACGTTGGCAGAGAGGGGTGGGGACCGTGGCAGTTTTCCAGGGAAGGGCAACAGCCCCATGGCAGCAAAAGTCACAGGCTCAGATGTCCTTGTCACCCCCCAGGCAGGCTCTAGGGCCCAGTCCCTGGGAGGCAGTTGCCATGGTTACTGGGAGGAAGAGGCCATCTGCGTGGAGATGAACGTCTCGATGACGCCGTGGTTGGACGGCAGCAGGTGGCTGTGGCTGTTGGCGGAGTCGGAGCTCTGGTACAACACCAGGCTGCTGGAGGACACTGTGGGACAAATGATGCTGCTGACTGCCCAGGCTGCCCGCGGGTCCTCCGGGGCCCGGCCCGGGGAGGTGGGCCTTGCCTTCTGAATCTCAGCAGGTAATGGGATCCCACAGCAAACTCTGTGTTCTTCCAAGCCCCAGCCAGACTCGGGGCCACCCAGGAGTGGCCTCGGGACATTTTAGTAGGAGCTGAAGGGACCCTGCGGAGGTGGCGTGGGCAGCTTGGCTGTCCTGCCCGGCCATTGGGCACTAGTCTCTGGAAGAAGGAATTCTGCCCGGAGACTGCAGCCTCCGCTCCTCCCCCCCGCCAGCCTGCGGCCTGCCCCAAGCTCTCAGACTTGCCAACCCCTCAGTCCTGGGACCCAGCTTCTTAAATGTAAATATTCTTGTTGGTTCTATGTCTCAGGGAGTCTGAGAGATACAGATAGTTAAGAAACAGGCTTGTTTGGGTTCACATCCTTGTGAATCTAGAAGCTGTCAGAGGCAAGGCCAGTCTCAAGCCTGCTAAAGTGTCCACTTTTTCATCTACGATGGGGGTGATGACACAGGCACCTCACGGGGCAAAGCATGGAGGCCTCCATGAACTGTCTGCAGCCACAGGCTGGACCCAGGCCCCTGAGGCTCAGGGAGGACACTTAGCTAAAGTCATAGTGCAGGCCCCAGGCCTCAAGGCCCAACCACCACTCAGGTGCCTGCTCTTAACTGAGACCCTAGGCTGCAGGCTCAGGTCCTCCTTGGGGAGTGGGAATGAAAGGCCAGTGGACAGGGGGAGCTGCAGAACCTGCCCAACCAGGTGGGAGTGAGTCCCAGTTTCCCAGAGAAGCTGGAGATTGGGATTTCATAGCGAAAACTCCTGGGGTTTAAGCAGCAAATTCTAGAGTGCTAAACCCTGGGCCTTCCCTGGTGGCACAATGGGTAAAAGCGCAGCACTATGAAGCTGTCAGCTGCTGCAGCAAGTTCAATTCCCTGCCAGGGAGGTGACCCACAGGGTGCAGCAGACCTCTCCTGTCTCTCCTGCCATTCTCCTCAGCAGTGTATTTCAGTCAATCAGTCTGTTCTGCTCCCCAATCTGTCTCTGGTGAATCACCCCTGCATCTCTGGCCTGCACCCCAGTTCCTGTATGCATAAATAAATAAATCTTTAAAAAAAAAAAAGTGCTAAACCCCGAGTCAAATCGATAGCTCCATGTGTCCCTTTGGCCCACAGCAAGCCCAGTTGATTCATCAGCCTCTACTGACCCTGCCAGTGGCTCCGTCTCTCCATCAAGTCAACAAGATGTCCCGGAACAGGCTCCCCACTTCCTGTGTTCACATTCCTCCTGGCCCACTTAGGGAAGCACAGGGCACCTCCAATGCCTGGCTATGGCCCCTCCCACACACACACCTGCCCCCCTGGTGGCAGCAAAACGGGGCAGTGGGTGGCCGCTCACCAGTGGGGCTGGCGCTGAGCCGATGGGCAGGCTGCAGGTGCTGGATGCCAGGGTCCTGGCTGGGGATGTGGATGGTGGTGGCCTGGGACGCCGGCGTGTGAAGTCCAGACTCACTGGAGGCCTCGGTGTCCGAGGTGAAGACCTGGGGGACCAGCAGCCTCCTGAGCCTCTGAGGTGTACCCCAAGGCAGGTCCTGAGCGGGGCCAGGGCAGGCTTGGGCCTTACCTGCTTGGTGGGCGTGAGGCTGGCCAGGGCACTGAGGTTGGTGGTGTCAGTGATGAGCATGGTCTGTGGGAGCAGGCCTGTGTGGGTGTACTGGGTCACCTCAGGCTTGTGGCTATAGAGGGCTGGGCAGGAGGAAGGAGAAGATATAGACACGGTAACTCGGGCATGGCTGGACCCCTCCCCCCCCCAGGAGGGCCTCAAGGCTGGGTGCTCTAGCAAGAAGGGTGGGGCCTGGTGAACACTCGATAGGGCAGTGGCTGGGGACTTGACTGATTTCCAGGTAAAAGGGTGGATTCTCCCCACCCATAGGGGCCTTGGAGAGAAGCCAGGAACCCACATCCAGCTCCTCCCATCTGCTGGAGATAACAGGTGTAAAAGGGAGTGCGGGTGGGGTGGGTTCTCTAAGTCCAGGCCTCCAAGGAAATGGCCATTACCCCACTTTGGGGGTGAGGGGGGCAGACAGCGCAGTATCTCCATCTCTAGGACATAGCTCCTAAATGTACCTGTCTCTCCCACAGCATTCCCCCAAAGAAGATGCACACACACACACCCCAGCAGAAAAACACATAAACTGCATATTCTCACACTGACTCAGATGAGAGCGTAACCGCCCACATACACCCATAAACCTGTGCAGCCCCATACGCACAGACGCACAGCCCCGGTGCCTGGTCCCAAATGCCTAAAGGTCTGAAGACCCTCAGCTGTCATAGGGTC